TATGGTCTAATCTCTATTACTACTGATAGTTACAAGCATTTATGATTTTTATTTACTAGCTTCCACCTGCCAAGGAATCACTAGAGGGTCCATTTTCTCTAGCCACGCTGGAGGAGATCTGTGAAAGGACTGGTTTTGATTTGACAAATAGTTATGTAAGTTAATGTATACATATGAGAAGGATTTTGTACTATGTGAAGATTTCATACTGTTTATAGTGTCTATACGTAATACTTATGTACTGTATTTTGTAGAAGCTTCTGCTGTATTCTTATATTTTTACCCTGAAGAAGATTCCAATTGGGAATTGAAACGCTTTGAGGTTGTATAATTGTTTAAGACTAGTCTCCTGGATGCAGATGAAGCCTTTGTTTCTCTTGTTAGTGATATTCCTGTACATTGCATGTTGGCAATTCAAGTAAAGTCCCCTTTCCAAATAAGTATGTCTTTATATGTTGTTAATAAAAGGTGGTTCCAAGGAAAAATGGATGAAAACAAGTGAATGCTTTCCTTTGAGCACCCCAAACGCCAATAGTCTTCCAATGATAAAGAACTAAAGTACAGCTTCCTTATTGCCCTAATCTTTTCTTATGCAATTTGTCAGCTTTGCCTATGAGGACACCGTGGCTGTTCTGTGCTCCTTTTTATATTGAGGGAGTTGGCCTTACCAAAATCTATCTTATTGGCCCTTCAAAGCCTGTTGGCCAAAGTTCAAAGGTCATACAATGCATTATGGTAAAAAAAAAAAAAAAATACGCGTATCATTTTTCAGGTCCTGAACCTGCAGGATTTTACTTGAACCCATGGTAGCAGTGAACTCAAACCACATCCCTACTAGTAAAATCAAAGTAAGAAGAATATAAGATTTGTACCAGTCATAGCTAATGATTCCAGTTAGTTTACTGTGTTCTATAAACTGTTCTTTTAATTAATTTCAATTCTTTAATGCAATAAAGATAAGCATTATTGGTTAGAAGTTATTTTATGAACATGTGGAAAAAAATTAAGAATCGCTATTACTCTCCTAACTTTTATTTCCCAGTATAAAGCCCATACTTTATCCACAATAGTCATGACGGTACAATAACAGTTAAAATATATTTTTGAAGAATGAGTGAGAGAAAAATAAACAAAATAGTTATTTTCAGTTGTCAATGATTTTTGGGGACTTTTAAGGGTATAGGTAAAATCATTTCAATTTGCTGATAAGTAGATTATCTTACATGAATGGATGGATCCACAATTCCACACTTTCACATTGCACCACTGTAAGTGGATAATCTATAGTAACAAGCTCTTCTTGGCAACATGGTTAAATGTTACTTTATGGGATTTAAATATAGATAAAGTAAACATTGCAGAAAATAAGACAAGTAAAAGTACCTCTTATGGACTCGATCAATTTTTACATTTCGAGTATGAACCTATTTATTTGGTGATAACTTTATCATTACTTAAGATAACAAAGTAATACATGCATTTATTTTGTAAACAACAAGTTTATTTTGATAATAATGCTTGCAATTATTATTTTTTTCTTTCAAATCTATAGGCACCAATGCATTAATAATTTTTTTTTTTTTTTCCGAATTTAACCAGTTATTTTTATTAAAGTAATTTTAGTGTGAAAAAATATACATGCCATTCTACAATCTGCCCTGTGTAAATGACACTAAAATGATGTTCCTTACACAAAGCATTGCAAAGTTATTTGTACTGTATATAATAAAAAAAGTTTTTTTTTCTATTTTATGCAACACTGAAAAGCAAAAACAGGATTCAAAACAAATAAATATTGATATAAAAAGACAAAAATGGAAAAATAATCAGCAGAAAAAATATTAGCTAACTAAAAAAGGTAGAAAGGAGTTAATTATGGGTGATTCTGGTTGCTAATGAATAACAGGGGTAGAAAATAAACACATTATACTTAAAAAAAATAAATTATAAAGTTTGTTTAATTGATGTGGTGCAAAAGTTTACATATGAATAAAACAATAAAGACATTAAAAAATACATTGTTTCACTGCATTAATTCAGTAGCGGTGGAGGTAGCCAACAATAGTGCTGGGTCAAGGCTAAACCAGTGATGCCTTGTGATTAGCTGAGGTACTCTGCGTTCCTAGGGATTTACCTACCTGGTCACTTTATTAGACTGCTTGAGTTTACTATTGTTCCCTATTGGGCTATTATGGCCATTATGGTTAATGGTGACCCTAGGAAGATCTGAGGTGGCTGATCCATAGCTCCACTCTTCTGGGGTTATGTATTGGTGTGAATATGCAGCTGATGTCCGGACAATGGATTTGTTTTTTTTTTAATTGGTAAAGGGTGAAAGTATATGCATATTTTGAAATGATATTGAATTTTTCTACTGTTAAAATTCTTTTTGAGCAAATTTGTTATTCCTCTAATAAAATGTATAAGTTGGACCTTGGATAATAGCAACTTTATGTCAGTGGGCTTCTCTTAGCCCCTGCCCATCTTCTATGTGTGAAGTTGAGTGTTACAATGATCGCATCTATAAATAGTGGTGAGTTGGTGAACTTATATTTATATTTTACTTTTTGTTTTTCCCTTTGAAGCCTTTTTTTTTTGGTAGACCTTGGAGCTGACTCTGATAAAGTGAGCATGTGTTGTATTTGTGCATGGTGACCATACTCCTTGAAGCATTTTATTGCTGGTGATGCCGATCTAGGCTTTGCAGCCACCTGCTGCTGGGAAGCTGCAATTCTTACTAAGATGTCCATTTATGAAAGAGAGGAAAGGCAAGATCCTGATGATCATAGCTTATCTCTCAGGTGTGCCAGTTTATGAAGCTGAGGTGAGGAGCGGAGAACATTTTTTTCACTTCTCATCACAGGACACACCCTTCTGTCATTCACATTGACAGAGATGGCCAATTTATGAAGGTGAGATCTGAAGATCTCACTGGCCATCTCTTTAAAATATTTCATTTCCAGATTCTCCAGTCCAGAGCTGGAGAATCTTGGTGAGAAGCTGCTGTGATATGGGGGAAGAAGGCTTCTTAGGTGTCCGTTTATGAACCAGCGGTAATAGATCGCAGCTCAGTTCTCCGGCATTCTCGGAGAACACAGTTCTCCTGTGAATGCAGTTTATGAAGCAGATCTCCGAAGGGAGAACGATCTCCCAACGCTGGAGAACGGTCTACAAACTCTGGAAAATAGCTGATTTTACTATAATCTCGCGAGATTACAGTAAAAGATCAGTTTACTAAGCAGAGGTAAATTATCTCTGCTTAGTTTTCGGTCCCTCCGATTCTCCAGCTCTGGGCTGGAGAATCTGGAGGGAGAACACAGATCTCCAGAGAAGGGCTGAACATATTCTCCTGGGTGTTATAAACTGTGAATGACCAGAGAATAGCTGTGATCCTCTGAATCTCAGCTATTCTGTGTGTCATAAACGGACACCTATGTTCCTAATATCAGCACCAGTGGGGTTAAACATTGATATAAATTATAACTATATATGTTTATGTATGTATATATGTATATTTGTGTTTTATACATAATGTACATTATATATATATATATATATATATACTGTATATATATATATATATATATATATATATATATATACATAATATAGTATAGTTATAGTGTATTGTCTTGTCGTTTAGAATGCATTCACACCTGAGCAATGCAGAATTGTTGGCAGAATTGCACAATTCTGACTGCAATTCCAAATTGTGTTAAAAATTGTGTTAAAATACGCAGTGCACTTTTGGGTGCCACTCATTGTTAATGGCACCCCAAATGCTTTTAGCAGACATGCATTTTGCCACACATTTTGTCATTTGACAAATATGCTATCAATGCACCTTGAAAAAACACACAACACTCCATGCCCAAAAAAGGTTCAGCTTGGCTTTTTGGGGCCTTTTTAAGGCACATTTTGATGCAGTTTTAACAAAAATTTTGTTGTTTTTTTTTTTAAAACAATATCAGTTGAAATTTGTATGTGCATTTTGGTAGTTTTTAACATGTATTTTGGTAATTTTTTACCTGTGTTTTTTGTGTGTGTTCTGGAAATTCATGCAAAATACATGTCATGGTTGCGGTGCCATTATTTGGTAATGGCACCCAAAAGTGGCTAGCAGATGTGAAGTTTGCCAAAATATTCATAAAAACCAAATCAAAATGCACTTTAAAAAAGTGCCAAAATGTGTGCTAAGAAAAGTGCCAAAAATGTGCAGTACAGACCACACCAAAATGCATGTTAAAATAACCAGTGCCAAAACATGTGTTAAAGTGCCTAAATGTGTGTTTAGAAAAGTGCCAAAATGCACATTAAAAAAACCCACTTAAAAATGCATGTTAATAAAATACAGCATGTTAACAAGCGGCAAAATGGACGTAACAAATGCTAAAATGTGCAATAAAAAAGAGCCAAAATACGCATTTAACCACTAGCCTACAGGACACTTATACCCCCTTCCTGCCCAGGTCCAATTTCCAGCTTTCACTTTGAATGACAATTGCGCGGTCAAACATCACTGTACCCATATGAAATTTTTATCATTTTTTTGTGACAGATAGAGCTTTATTTTGGTGGTATTTAATCACCTCTGGGTTTTTTTATTTTTTTCATAAACAAACCAAAAACCATTGGAAATTTTGAAAAAAAAATGTTTTTTCTTAGTTTTTGTTATAAAATTTTGTAAATAAGTGATTTTTCTCCTTTATTGATGTGCGCTAATGAGGGTGCACTGATGGGCACTGATAGGCTGCACTGATGGACACTGATAAGTGGCACTGATGGGCACTGATGAGGAGACACTGGTAGGTGGCACTGATGTGTATTGACAGGCTTCACTGACTGGCACTAAAAGGCAGCACTGATACATGGCACTGATAGGCAGCACTGATAGGCAGCACTGACTGGCACTAATAGGCGGCACTGACTGGCACTGATAGGCGACATTGACTGGCACTGTTAGGCGGCACTGATAGGCACTGTTAGGCGGCACTGATACGCACTGATAGGCGGCACTGACTGGCACTGATAGGTTGCACTGATTAGCAGCACTGATATGTGGCACTGATTGGCATTGATAGGTGGCACTGACTGGCACTGATGGGTGACACTGAAAGGCAGCTCAGATGGGCACTGATATGTGGCATTGATGTGCACTGGTGTACACTGATATGTGGCACTGATGTGGCACTGATGGGCACTGGCACGAGGCACTGATGAGCACTGACATAAGGCACTGATGGACACTGACAGGTGGCACTGCTGGGGCTACACTGATCATTAGGGCACACTGATCATCAGTGCCCTGATGATCAGTGTACATGTCCCCTCCGCGGAAAGCTGATTACCGGCTCTCCTCTACTCTCGAGCTGTCAGCGTGACAGCTCGTGAGGAGAGAAATGCTGATAACCGGCATTTCCCTGTTTACATGTGATCAGCTGTGGTTGGACACCGCTGGTCACATGACCGAGCCGACATCTTCGGCTCTTTCCGTGATCGGTGATCCGCTGTGTCCGAGGGACACAGCGCACTGACGATCGCTGCGCATGCGCAGTGAGAATGGGAGGATGTCATATGACGGCCTCCCAGAACGAGAGAACCACCTTGCGCCCATCATATTACTATATGGCAGGTGGGAGGTGGTTAAAGAATGTGCCAAAATGTGCATTAAAAAGTATCTGTGGTCAGTGCTTACATTTTCATGTAATTACATGGTCTTTTTAACTTTGGTTATACTGTTTAAACTCAGGTGATATGTAAGCACACAATTAATTCAGGAGATCACATGCAGCCCTCCCTTTTCTGCACAGATATTACTTCTCTCTTCTCCTTCTGAGAACAAATGTTCTCATCTTCATAAATAGGGGAACAAAGGAGAAGATTTTTCCCTGAGAAGTGCAGAGAACTGAAATGAGATAAATTATTTCTGCTTAATAAACGTACACCTAAATCAGGTTTCATGTTGTCATTTTAAAAAAGAGGATGCTCCATATGCAGAAATACATAAATTTGGTTTTCTGTCAGTGATCTCCCCTTCTACTCAACAGGCATATGGGGAATAAATACTGAGAAATACACACAGAAAACCTACACAATGGATATTTTGTCATGCGAAAACCACATCTTCATAGATGCTCAGAATTTGTTTTATTTGTATTATTTATTATACATTGAATACAATTTTTTTTATTTATGACTGTTGCTACATACACACAATTAAACTGATACATCAGTCATACAAAATAATAGTTCATTTTAATATTTTTATTAAGCCATGCAAAGAGAAATGTATAGATTGAAGCAACCAAGAGTGCCAGAGTTCATGGTGAACCAATTGCCCTTCTGTGTTTTGCACATTATCATTGCTTTTTACACTTCCTTATTAAACAAGCATGAAAATTCTCTAAATTCCCCATATAAATGAGATGTATACAGAGAACCATCAACACTGTTTGGTTTAATTACCTCAGATTATGTTGCAGAGTTTTTCATGCATTACACTGTAAGAATTAGCTAACATGCTGTTCACATTTAAACGTAACTATAATGTCACAAATTTTTGTTTTGCAACATAGTAATGAAACAAATAATTCACTTGACAATTGCTCTATTGAATTATGCTTCTACTACTCCTGATCTTTTAAACATAAATGAATAAGATATATCAACTTAATGCAGAGAAGGCAAACAATATTTTTAAAGGGATACCTTTTAGCCATTAAACTTTATCCCTTTAATAATTTTGTACATTATTTGCCAAGGTATTTACTCATGGATAAGACAGTACAATACTTTTTTCTAAGATATAAAATAAGCACACATTCCACTTATATGAAATATCTAATACTAACAACAATAATGTGTAAATGGAATTACAGTTAAAACATTAAAGCAGACTTAGTAAATTATATACATGCTTTACACTGCTTTTTATTCTGCTCAAAGGTGTCTTTTACATTGAGTTCTTCTATTTTGTTTTCACCATGTTTATTTAAAGTGCTGCCACAAGCTAATAATATACATCAAAGTGGAAAAATGATAAAGCAATACAGTTGAAGGGCTTTTTTGTAACATTGTGGATGTCCATGAAAAAGATGTGAAAGATACTTAGAAAACTTCAATCAATGATGAGGGTATGATTCATTTCATCACCTTCCATGGTCCTGCAATTTCAGCCTGAAACTGACTGAACATATATAACTCCATAGGTGTAAAACAAAATGGCAAAACATGGTAATTTAAAGAGTCATCTGGTATTATTTCATTGGTCACACAGTAGATTATTTTATGGTATCTTATTTTTAAAAGTGGTCTAACACGACATTTCAGTTGTGGTTTAAAAAGAGAAAATATTTTGTTCGTTGGTCAATTTTAAATTGTTTTTAGGTTTACATGTATGTAAACTGACATTTTACATTTATGTTGTAATTTTATGCATAAAAACTTTATTCTACAGTTAAGCATTTAATACATAATTAGAGTGAATTATGGTATGATAGGCAACATAGTCTGTACACCCCCCATGTTCACTATTCTGTATTGTGATACATAACTGTAAATTGCAATGCATTAGGGTTCCATTTTATTGTAAACCTACAGTACATCTGTGTTAAAATATACCCTTTTTAGGACCTTCTTGTGTGTGTCAAAAATAACTTCAGTTGCTGTTCAGCTGTTGATCCCCCCCCCCCCCATTTTTTTTTTTCTTTAAAATTTTTCTTCATTACAGTTAGGCTTAAAAGGTTTAGTTTTAGTTTTTGTGAGGAGGTGTATTCTATTTGAACACACACACAAGCCCACGCACACACACATATATATATACACTGTATATATATATATATATTTTTTTTTTATATATATATATAAATATTTTTTTTTTTTTTTCGGCAGGGGGAGGGGGGTGAGGTCAGCAGCATGTACTTGTTACTGAAGTAGCCAAAGGTTCCCCATTGCATCTCTGCATGCTAGTGTGATACAATTTTGTTCACCAATCATCGCATTAAGTTAAGTGCACCACATCACCACATTCTTAATCCCCTTATTTCCATAGCTTCTAATAACACCCTGTATTTATTATGTCTGGTAGGACTAAAGGGAAGGGCAGAGGTTCTTCATATACAGTTAGTAGAGGATGAAAAGGTTTTGCAGCTGCAGGAAAAAACAGTGGTTGGGTCACACCTTTGAGAGAAAGTGCACTTTTTCCTTTTCTTTCTGGCCAGTAGGCATTCTACATGGCTAGAGAATATGGAGAAGTTCATGAAGTGGTTAATGAGGTCTTGTTCATTCTCCTCCTCCTAGATGTAGGACAGCATATTTTCCATTCTCCTCCCAGATGCAGGACAGCATATTTTCCATTCACCTCCTTCCAGATACAGGGCAGCAGTTGAAAATGTGCCCTCTTCTTCCCCTTCCTCTACAGCTAATCTGGCAATTGCCCTGCAAACTAGCATGGAGGAGTTATCTGAATTATTTCCACACAGCATGCGTCACTTAGGAGTTCTTGTTATGGAATGTTGAGGAGAGCAAAAAGGAGTGCATTACAGGCAGGGAGCAGCAATTACCATTGATGTTGCTACAGATTACTGCCAAATGGTCTTGAGCAATAGAGAGGGTAGAATTGATATGACAGAGAGCTCTGAGGAAGAGGTAGTACCCTCAAAATGCCTCCGCATCTGCAAGATGTTGTGGTGCTATCCTAGCACATCTGGGGGCACAAATAATGGTTCTGGTTGTTTCTTTCTTGATATATTTGATGAGCTTTTTTATACTGCTTTGTTTGTTAACTTTATTATCTTTCAAATAATGGTGTTTTGGATAATGCGCTAAGGTGGTTTATTGCTGTAATGTAAGATTTGCCTGTTTCCTAACAGGGTTGAATGACTAACTTTTGTAAAAACAAATTCATCTTGGATCAGGAATGAGTACAAAATCTCTTCAGCTAATACTAACAAATACATTTTTGCTTGGAATCTGGCCTCCAAAAATGATTATACCTTACACCATTACCATTTCCTGCCACTGTTGATGTCCTGCTACCAATACAAGCTCCTTCCACCACTGCTGGCCTTCCTTAATTCTGCAAACACTGCTGATTTTCCACAAGTACAATCACCTGTCATACTATGACAGACCCAACCTGTGGACTGGGTTGGAGAAGCTCCTCCATTTGGGACAGACACATGAATCAACAACCTCCCTCAATAAATAAAGAAGATAAAATATTTCCACTTTTTCAAACTTGGAATATTGTATGAGTTTTGTCTTATGGAAAGATTATACAAGTGAAAGCAAACACCTGAAAGACAGCAGGTGTAGTGGCATTTGTGTATTCAGGGTGTGGGCTTATTGCCAGTCAGTCTGGGGTGGGCTGAATGCCTGGCTTATGCTAATTAGATCACTGTTAGCTGTTGGCTGTACTGTTTAGGATGTGCATTGTTTAGGATAATGTGATCAAGCTCTTAACTAATAAGTGCAGGATGTTTATCCTAATGTATAATATTTGTGTTTTTTTTTTCCTGTGGGCACTGGCCCTATTTCTGGAGTGTACACAAACCTGTGTTTTTAGTTCAATAAAGAATTCTAGTTTTGGTATCTATGCTAGTCTCTTCTAGCCTTGGGTGAAATGCCCAGCTATAATACTTTGGTGCTGTGTCCCATTTGGGGTGACAGGCATTCCATCACAATTACCAACTCCCTCCACTACTGCTGGTCTGCCACCATTTCCAGCTTCTGCCACCATTTCCAGTTATATACCTACTGCTGTTAGCCTGGCACCATTACCAGCTCCTTCCACCACTATCAGCTTTTACCATCAATACCAGGTCCATCCATCACTGCTTTCTTTCTACCATTGCCATCTCTTGCCACCACTGCTGGCCTGATACTCTTGCCATCTCCTGCCACTACTGACGGCCTGTCAGAATTACCATCTTGTGCTGCCTTTTCTGCCCATTTCAGTGCTCCTTACTGTGTAAGGTGCCACACAGGCTGAATTTTTTTTATCAGTTTCTGCAGGGTAAATTCTGTGATGCATCCTAAATTTTAAGCTTATTTTAGTGATCAATTACTAAAAGGGTGCCACAAAAAATTCCTCTCCCCCTTTCCTCTAACCCCCAACCCATCCACTTGTTATACCAAGACACAACTGCTGCCCACCCTATAAAAAATTCCAAGAGTTGGGAATTGACATTCTCTTAACCACTTGCCTACCAGGCACTTATACCCCCTTCCTTACCAGGCCAATTTTCAGCTTTCAGCGCTGCCGCACTTTGATTGACAATTGCGCGGTCATGCAACATTGTACCCATATGAAATTTTGATCATTTTTTTCTCACAAATAGAGCTTTCTTTTGGTGGTATTTAATCGCCACTGGGCGCTTTACTTTTTGCGCTATAAATTAAAAAAAGTGCAAAAAATTTGAAAAAAAAAAAAAAAAG